CATTAAAGGGAATTTAGTGTGTACCAGGCACAGCTAGGACCTGTTAACTATAACACTGTTAACTGTAGCACTATTTTACTTCATTCTAGTGTTAGCAGTACTAGAGAGGTAGCTAGTGTTATCATGAGGCTGAGTATGTTTCTACCAACCTCCTTGGGGAAAGCAATGGATCCAAGCCTTCTTACTTTTATTTAAATCAATATGTTGAGTGATTTCTCCAATATAGCTAGGAATTTGGCAGAATAAAGGATAGAAATCATATTTTAGATACATAATTCTCTCAATAACTTCCCCAAGTAATTTAAAAAATATTCATGACTTAGTGACTTGACTTTCTTGGTTAAATAGCATTGTTGACTTATTTATATGTATGTTTGCTTCATTGCCCATATGTGTGGATTATTTACTTTTTAGATTAGATCGTGGAGGGGATACTATGGTGTGCCACCCAGGTCCTCCACGTCAAGACTGAGGTACTCATTCTTTCAGCACCCTTAGAATATTGGCTGTTGCTGATGGCTTTTACCCAAGTCCCACTCTAGGGATTGTCCTCAGCTTCCTTGCCCAAGACTATTGGTATGGTTTAGCTGTGTCCCCACCCAAATCTCATCTTGAATTGTAGCTCCCACAATTCCCACATGATGTGGGAGGGGCCCAGTGGGACACAATTGAATCATGGGGGCAGGTCTTTCTTGTGCTATTCTTGTGGTAGTGAATAAGTCTTATGAGATCTGATGGTTTTATAAAGGGGAGTTTCCCTATGCAAGCACTCTTCTCTTGTCTGCCGCCATGTGAGACATGCCTATCACCTTCAGCATGATTGTGAGGCCTCCCTAGCCATGTGGAACTGTGAGTCCACTAAATCTCTTTCTTTTGTAAATTGCCTAGTGTCGGGTATGTCTTTACCAACAGTGTGAAAACCGATGAATACACCTATGCTCCTTGCTCAGAAGCAGCCTGCACCCATGACTATGTGATATGCAAAATGTTTCAGGCTCCTTCACCTCCATTTGGAACAACTCTGAAGGGCTATTCCAGACCCCCTGACATCAGCTGAGACCACTGTTGTTTTTATGTAACAGTTCAGTCTCTCCTTCTGCTCAATCCTTTTTTCTTCAACCCCTTACAGATACTCCTGAGATCACTCTCCAATAAAATCCTCATGCAAATCCCCACTATAGTTTCTTTTCTGGGGAACGTGACCTGATATAGTTAGGGAAGAGTTTTAATTCCAAAATTATTTATTCTTGCCACTCATTCAGCCTTCTTCTGGTCTATCTTCCTCCTTTTGACAGTTGTGTACTCTGGGAAATCTTTTTTTTTTTTTTTTTTTAACCTGAGACAGAGTCTTGCTCTGTCACCCAGGCTGATGTGTAGTGGTGCCACCACAGCTCACTGCAGCCTCAACCTCCTGGACTCAGCGGATCCTCCCACCTCAGCCTCCAGAGTACCTGGGACTACAGGCCTGTGCCATTACGCCTGGCTAATTTTTGTATTTTTTGTAGAGACAGTGTTTTGCCATGTTGCCCAGGCTTGTCTCAAACTCCTAGGCTCAAGCAATCTGCCTGCCTCAGCCTCCCTAAGTGCTAGGATTACAGGTGTGAGCCATTCTGCCCTGTTGAAATCAAGCTTTTGATAATTAGTCTAATTACAATGTAAGTGGGAATGCAAATACACTAAAAATAAAATTTAAGAGAGAAATTTGGATTATTGCCAATCCTTCCTCAGCATTAAAAATGATTAGAGATCTTTCCATATAATAGGACATTACAGGAAAATTAAAGCCATTCACTGAATATTTTGGGTGCCTACTATACTTAAAAAACTATGAAAAATTAAAGAAGAGTAAGATATGGCTCCTGCCCTCAAGGAAAAGAAACAAATAGCTAGAAACTAAACAGATAAGAGAAACATTAGTTGTTTTAATAACGTATTATGAGTTCTGATGAGAAAGCAATTTAGCTGGGATAATCGGAGTGGGTATCTGGAAAATTTTATATTAAAGGGCACTGCAGGAAGGCTCAGTGTGTCTGAGGACACCTTAGTCAACTTAGCATTTTAAACCCATTAACCAACTTTTTGTAAACTCCTATATGATATAATTGTCAAATTCTCTTCCCCCAATCTGAGTCAGTTGGAGGTGAGCTGATTTTACCAATGGTAGTGTCAGCTACCATTGACGTGCCTCCACACTCCCAATTCTTTCCTTTCATAAGCCTCAAGATCAAATGACCTTCTCAGTAACTTACATTTTCAGTTTGACAAAAGTATTTTCACTGGTTCCTTGTAATTCTGCATGGGAGAAATCATGAGAACATTTAACAAGGGCTTAAGTGTGTCCACTTATGTCGATGAATCATTTGCTCCCAGCCCTGAACCACTTCTTCCTGCCTCGTTGGCTCTGACTGCTTCTACTCTGCTAATAAGTGGTTTTGTCTGAGTTGTGCTGGAAGAAAAAGATCTGGTGAGGGTGGAATGTGTCATGAGTAAATGAAAGTGCCAACTGAAGTGAGAACACAAAGAGGTGAATGGAGAGATTGAACCCATATTCCTTTAAATTTAGACCTGAGCTTATCATTTCAAGATGGGGCTTCAATATTTTAAATTGGAGACAGTTCTGAGTTATTGCTCAGAGGATCCAGTAACAATCTGTCAATAAAGTAGTAATCTTGGGAGATTTTCCCAAAGTATAATTTCTGGGCTTTGTACATATGTCTTACGGTAGATATGTACCCAAAGCAGGCTAACTAACCTGACCAAACTGGTGGATTTACCAATTGTGTTTCTTTGAAGCCACACATAGAAACCACCGAATCTATTAGTGGACTCAATTCAGCTGTTGTAATTTGTCAACTGAAGGAATATATCAAAAATCAAGACTAACTTATCTAATTCACATGCTACTTTAGCTCTTTCTTTCATTTCACCTGGGATTTTATTAAGATTGTAGTTTTGGAAACCAGGGCAGGAGTGGGGCAGTGATAGGGGAGCGGAGCGGAGAGAAAGGAAGAAAAACCCAGGATTGAAGATAGAGCTTCCCTTTATTGCTCAATCCCTGATATCCTGTGGCATTGGCTCCCATTCCTTGCCATTTTATTCCAGACAATAGAACCAGTCAGACCTGCAGTGCTTTACTTCAGACATTACATCCTATGACAAACATGTCAACAGATCATAACTGTGTGGCTTCTCTATTCTTTCCTGAAGCAATATTTCTTTATTATTGGAGCTTGGGAATCAAATAAAGGGAACCTCTCCAAAGAATTAAGGCATTTAAGCTGTGTGTTTTAAAAGCTTATTTTTTGTTCTATTTGGCAGCAGGAATGCTCCAAGGATTTCTGGATAATCAGCACCATAGAAAATTATTCCTCCTTTAAAGTTTCTACTAAAGAATTTACATTATAATTTTACATTTTCTATTATATAGCTCCAACCATCTAAAGCAAAACTGTGGTGTATTGCTTGTGTTTAAAACATTCAGTCACTGGACTGGAAGCAAGCTTTATGGAAGGTCATATTTCTTAAATGTTTTTAAATCTCTGGGGCTATTTTTTTAGAAGAGAAAGTTAAACACTGATGTGATAATATTAAAAGTTAATTTTTATTCAGCTCCTCTTAGGTACCAGATTCCATTCTAAGGGCTTCATCAGCATTAACTCATTTAATTCTCATTAAACACATTAGTTAAATATTTTTATTATCCTCATTTTTTAGCTTAGGAAACTAAGGCATAGAAAGAGTAAGAAGGTTGTTCAAGGTCTCACAGCTGGTAGGTGGAAGAGCCAGAATTTGTATCTAGGCAGGCTGCTTCTAGGACTATGCTACATGGCGCCACGTGATAGCAAGCTGCCATTTTATAGATGATAAAATTGGTATCCAAAGACATGAAATAATGGCTGGGCGCAGTGGCTCATGCCTGTAATCCTAGCACTTTGGGAGGCCAGGGCAGGAGGATCACGAGGTCAGGAGATCAAGACCATCCTGGCTAACATGGTGAAACGCTACCTCTACTAAAAGTCCAAAAATTAGCTGGGCGTGGTGACGCATGCATGCCTGTAATCCCACCTACTTGAGAGGCTGAGGCAGGAGAATTGCTTGAACCAGGGAGTCAGAGGTTGCAGTGAGCCGAGATTGCGCCACTGCACTCCAGCCTGGTGACAGAGCAAGACTGTGTCTCAAAAACAAAAACAAAAACGACATGAAGTAACTTGCTAAGATCATATACCTAGTAAGTCATGGAGTTGGGATTTGACCTTGAGTCCCTTGGGCCTCTTTCCAATGCCTTTGTTTTCATTTCACGCTGACCTATAGGTAAAAGTCGCAGAAACTGGAATCATACAGTCAGAAGAACAGCTGACAGGCAGTTTGAATTTTCCCCATTATAGACAAACAAAACCTGAAAAATGTAGGCATTTATTTTAATATTTCCAAATCTAATATAAATACAGGCTCAGCACCATTTTTCCTAACCAAGCATCTACCTTTGGTAAGTCCTCATTGTTCCTTCTTCCCCCTTGACCTCAGCCTCCAAAAGAAGGACTGGAGGCCAGGGACAAATCTTGACTATGCAAGTGAACAATTAAACGTACTTGGGGCTCCATCGATGAGGAATCTCCCATGTTGCTCACCTGTCTAGCGCCAGTAGGGCATCTTTGAAGAGAGTCCCAAGTCCAGTGTTGTAGGACTGTTCATGGGACCTCAGGGTCAACCCCGTGGTTGTCGTCACCATCGGGCTTGAGCTTGCCCTACAGAAGCTACCTGACATTTACCTGACCCACATCTACTCAAAATCATATCACATGTTGACTTCTTGATAAATAAGATGACACGACATGTAAAAACACTGCCAGTAAGTGAACAAAGCAGGATACCCAGTTGAGGTCCTGATCATGATGTGAAATTCTTTTTGAATTTTATGTCTTTAAGGATTAAGTGAATTAGAGTATCTTAAGCCTCTAACTGTGTTTGGGACATAGTAGATACTAATATTCTTTTCTTTCTTTTTTTTTTTTTTTTGATTGAATAAAGTTTTATTTTTCCAAATGTACAGTTGGTTGGACCTATTCATGCATCTTCACCAGCAGCTGGAGCATCTCCGCCCTTGGTATTTCTGGTGTAAATTACTTGAGCTCTGTACTTTGAAACCAGTTTGATAAGTCCTTTACTAAGGAGCTCCTGAAGGGCTGCCCTGGCCAGGGAACCTCGAATCTTCAGTCTCTCAGAGACCATAGCTGGGGTTATAGTTTATAGTTGGGAACTTCCTTACAGAGTTTGTCGTAGGTAGCTTTGTCAAACAAGACCAAGTTATTGAGCTTGTCCCGAACTTTGCCTTTGGACCGCTTCTTCTTTTTGGCCTTGCCCCCGGATTTGTTCACTGGGTCTTTGTCTTTCTTGGCTGACTTTCCAGCATCCTTCTTCCTCTTGTCATCCTTGGGTGGCCTTGCGAAGCTTGCAGAGCAGCAGCGGACACAGCAGCCTCGCTAAGATGTCGGACAAAAAGCCTACTATTCTTTTCTTTGCTTGTCTTCCATTCCCTTCCCTGTTCATGTAAATAATGACTCTGGCAACCAAGAAACGTACGAGCTGATCAATTATGGAGCAAATGTATTTAAAATACCCACTGCGTGCCTGGCATTCCTGGGCTTTGTGTAGAATACTAGAGTTGTTGCTGGCTAGCCAAGTCTTTAAGAAACATACTTTTAAAAATTATTTTTTTATCATAGTAAAATTTACATAACACAGAAATGATTATTTTAGTCATTTAAGTGTACAGTTCAGCGGCATTAAGTACATTTACAGTGTTGTGCAACCATCACTATCCATTTTCAGAAATTTTTTATTATCACAAACAGAAACTCTGTACCCGTTAAATAATGTCCTTATTCTTCTCTTAGCATCTGGTAACCCTTTCTGTCTCCATGAATTTGCCTGTTCTAGGTATCTCTTATTAGTGGAATAATACAATATTTGTTTTTTTGTATATGGCTTATTTCAGTTAGCATAATGTTTTTAAAGTTTATCCATGTTGCAGCATGTATCAGAATTTCCTTTTTGTTGAGATGGGGTCTCACTCTGTCACCCAGACTGGAGTGCAGTGGCATGATCTTGGCTCACTGCAGCCTCAACTTCCCAAGTTCAGGTGATCCTCCTACCCCAGCCTCCTGAGTAGCTGGGACTACAGGCACGCGCCACCGTGTCTGGCTAAGTTTTTGTATTTTTGGTAGAGATGGGGTTTCGTCATCTTGCCCAGGCTGGTCTCGAACTCCTGAGCTCAAGCGATCTGCCTGCCTCGGCCTCCCAAATTCCTGGGATTACACTGCACCCAGCCAGAATTTCCTTTCTTTTTTAAGGCTAGTATTCTATTGTATGTGTTTGCCACATTTGTTTATCCTTTTATCCGATGATAGACACTTAGGTTTTTTCTACCTTTTGGCTATTGTCAATAGAGCTGCTATGAATATGGGTACACAAGTATCTGTTTGAGTCTCTGCTTTCAACTTTTTTGGGCATAAACCTGCAAGTGGAATTGCTGGATCATATGGTAATATTATTTTTAACTTTTTGAGGAAATGTCATACGTTTTCCACAGTGGCTGTGCCATTTTACATTCCCACCAGTGATGCACGAGTTCCAGTTTCTACACATCCTTGACAACGCAGTTTGTATTTTAGTAAATGCACTTCTTGCAGTATTTTCCATAAAACATAACCATCCTAATGGATGTAAAGTAATATCTCATTGCGGTTTTGACTTGCATTTCCCTAATGACTAAGGATATTGACATCTTTTCATGTGCTTGTTGGCCATTTGCGTATCTTCTTTGGAGAAATGTTTATTCAAATCCTTTGTTCATTCCTGAATTGGATTGTTTTTATTTTCATTGCAGAGTTGTAGGAGTTCTTTATATATTCTGGATATTAATCTACAGTCAGATATATGACTTACAAATGTTTTCTCCCATTCTGTGGGTCGTCTTTTTAATCTCTTGATAGTATGCTTTGATGTATGAAAGTTTTTAATTTTGATGGGGTCCGGTTTATCTGTTTCTTCTTTTGTTGTCTGTACTTTTGGTATAGTATCCAAGAAATCATCACCAAATTCAACATCCTTCAGAAACATACTTTTTGTTTGTTTGTTTTGTAAAGAAAAGTCTTGGGGTTGATCCAAAGAGACTGAGTTATCCAAACTGTTCACAGTGAGTTACAGATCAAACTTCTTGTTCTACTTTTTCCCCGCTTCTCACTACTGCCCTTGACTAGTCTTAAAAAAAAATTTTAAAAAGTCTTAGGGGAGAAAAGGAGGAGGGCAAGGATTGAAAAACTGAGTATTGTGCTTGGTATTTGGGTGACTGAATCAATAGTACCCCAAACCTCAGCATCACACAAAATACCCAGGTAACAAATCTACACATGTACCCCCTGAATCTAAAATCAAAGTTGAAATTGTTTTAAAAAAGAGAAAACTCTCCAGGGAAATAGAGAATAATTGAGGTCAATGTATAATAATTTCCAGTTGAAGGTGGTAGACAACGAATATATAGTTGTTCAGAGAAGAGGGAAAACAATCTAAGTACCTTAATAAAATCTTAACTTTACATCAGTTTACTCTGAGCGAGAAGAAATAAAGTGCAAGTCCAGAAGACATAGTGCTTGCCCAACTAAAGAGGAGTTCTGGGAATAAGCCAAGCCCTTGGAATAAGCGACAGTTGCATAATCATTTCAAATAAACAATTTGGATGTACGTAGGATCTTGTATATATATTTATTTATTGTGTACACTTTTATCTCCCAAATCCAATTATGCTTTTAAGAATAGGCAAAAACTTGTTGTGAGGTGATGGATTGATGGTGAATGGGAGTGAGAAGTAAAGCAATTTTTGCAAGCAAGAAGATCAGTTTTGCGATCTGGGAGGCCCCTTACTTTACACTAAAATATCTATTTGTATAGTTTTGTTCCATTGATGAGAGGAAAATATTTGTGATGACATCCATGTGTCCTAAGTTTCTATGGCACTTACAACTTGAGTTGTTCCCCATAATTCCTCATATATCTAGATTATCTATCTATCTATCTATCTATCTATCTATCTATCTATCTATCTGTCTGTCTGTCTGTCTGTCTGTCTGTCTGTCTGTCTGTCTGTCTATCTATCTATCTATCTATCTATCTATCTATCTGTCTGTCTGTCTGTCTGTCTGTCTGTCTGTCTGTCTATCTATCATCTATCTACCTATCTATCTTAATGCCACCTAATCAATTATCTTTCAATTCAGAGTATGAATTTACAATTAAATTCTGGGTAGTTCCTTGAAGTGGATCTGGGAATGCTGAGAACTCCAAACAGAATTGCTACCCTATTATCCAAAGCCTGACTCCAAATTCCTATTTGTTATGTAATTCTTTGTTGGACTGGTATTTAAACACACATTCCTTTGTATTTGTCCTCCATTTCCTGGAGCTTAATTTTCTTCTTAGAGCAAATCGATCTTCAGCTTTGGGAGGATCCAGATCATAAAGGGTCTTGTGCATCCGGTCAAGATGTGCAGATATTGTATGTCATAGATTGGGAAGCCAGTGAGAAGACAGGATTATATTGATTTGTTAGAAAGTTCACCCTGGCAGCATGGTGGAAAAGAGTTTGGAAGTAGATGGGATGAGGCTGATGGTTTTACTCTCCCCTTCTTCCCTTCATATTCCAACCTCACTGAGGAAAGGAGCCTTATGTTGGATATTATAATCCCATGAGGAAACAGGGAGAAAGGGGTTTGAGAAACAGAAATACAATCAACACTGACATACAAACATGTTGCTATGGGGATCTATTGTCAAAACCCTGAGATTTCTTTTGCAATGTTTACCAAGCACTCAGCCCATCAGACATGAAACACCTAGGCTCATCACTCCCCTGGTTCTGGCAGGCAGGTTTCCTCACTTCCGGTTTATCTTTCCTACAGAGCAACTGGTCAGATGCTGAGTGTTGGGGATTGGGACAGGCAATTTATATTCTAAAATGGAGGCTTTATATTTTTAATTTTCCCTCAAAAAATTTCAAATGTACAGAACAATAGAGATAACAAATTATTAAAATAAAATCAATAATTTTCAATATTTAATTAAATATTTAATTTAATATTAAATTAGTAGAGAAAGGAACTCTGCTATTCCTGTGACCCATGTTCAATAATTAGTAATATTTTGCCATACTTGCTTTATTACTAAATCTACATTTTTGCTGGTCTTTTTTATTCATATTATTTTGATTGATTGACACATCATAATTATAAATATTTATGAGGTACAATGTGGTATTTTGATATATGTATAGAATGCGGAATGATTAAATCAAGTAAATTAACATATCCATCACCTCAATTATGTATCATTTTTTATGGTGAGATATTTGAAGTTTACTCTGTTATTTTGAAATATGTAATATATTCTTGTTGACTATAGTCATCCTGCTCTGTGATAGATGTTAAAACCTATTCCTCCTGTCTGTCTGACACTTTATACTCTGATCAACAGCTCCCTATTACCTCTCCCAGCCACTCTCTGGTAACCACCATTCTACTCTCTACTTGTATGAGTTCAATACTTCTTAGATCCCACACATAAATGAGATCAGATAGTATTTGTCTTTTTGTGCCTGGTTTATTTCACTTTTTGCTGAAGTATTTAAAAGCAAATTTTCTCATGACCTCATGTCATTACACCTCTACATTCTTCATTATGCATCTCTTAAAAAGAAACATTTTCTTACATAATCATAATTATCACATCTAACAATATTAACAGTGATTCTTGGGTAATCTCTAGTATATCCAGTCTACATTTAAATGTCCCTACTTGTCTTAAAAATCTATTTGTGTAGTTGATTTGTTGAGCTAGGATTCAAACAAAATCAAAGATATTTTCTAAACATTTCATTATACTCCAGATATTAGGTTTTCTCTGACAATTTCTTTAACCCCACGTTTTCAGTTTGTATTGGAGTGCTTTTATGTGGTTCATAATTTTGGAAGCCATTTCTATCCATTTCATTAAATCAGTTACCATGTATAGTAGGCTGAATAATGTCCTTTCCCCTCTGTTCTCCATGATATCCAGGTCCTAATCCCTAGAACCAGTGAATGTTAACCTACATGGCAAGAGAGATTTTGTAGATGTGATTAAGTTAAAAATCTTGAGATGGGGAGATTATCCTGGATTATACGGGTGAACATTAAATGCACTTACATATGTCCTCATAAGAAGGAAGTGGAGGTTGGGTGTGGTGGCTCACACCTGTAATCCCAGCATTTTGGGAGGTTGAGGTGGACAGATCACCTGAGGTCAGGGGTTCGAGACCAGTCTGGCCAACATGGTGAAAACCCGTCTCTACTAAAAATGCACAAATTAGCTTGGTGTGGTGGCGGGTGCCTGTAATCTCAGCTACTTGGGAGGCTGAGGCAGGAGAATTGCTTGAACCTGGGAGGCGGAGGTTGCAATGAGCTGAGATCATGCCACTGTATTCCAGGCTGGGTGAAAGAGTGAGATTGTGTCTCCAAAAAAAAAAAAAAAAAAAAAAAAAAAAAAAATAAATAAATAAAAATAAAAATAAAAAAAATAAATAAATAAAGAGAAGGAAGTGAAGAGAGATTTAATACAGAAGACAGAGAATACAGAAGGCCATGTGACAGAAGCAGAAGGAAACAGAGTCACAGAGAGAACATGCTACACTGCTGGCTTTGAGGATGGAGGAAAGGGCCAGAGCCAAAGAATGCAGGTGGCTACTAGAAACAGGCAAAGGCAGTGCAAGGGATTCTTTCCTCGAGACTTCAGGGAGCCCTACCTACACCTTAATTTCATTCCAGTAAAACTGATTTTAGAGTTCTGGACTCCAGAACTATAAGAAAATAAATTTGTGCTGTTTTAAGCCACCAAGCTATTAGCAGTTTGTCAGAGCAGCCATAGGAATCTAATACACCATGGTTCAAAGATATCTATGAAGTAGGAATTCTGTTCTCTGTAGAAGATAGTTCAGAGGCCAGAGCTACTGGAGAGGCAACATGCAGTTGAGGAAATGGTAATGAACTTGGAACTGGCTTCTAGACTACATTCTGTCAAAGACTTTGAGCCAAGTTGACCTTTCTGATATTCATTTCCCACATATATAAAAATCAAAGGAATGGGCCAGGCACAGTAGCTCACACCTGTAAGCCCAGCTTTTTGGGAAGTTGAGGCTGGAGGATTGCTTGGGCCTAGGGGTTTGAGGCTGCAGTGAGCCGTGATCATGCCAGTGCCCTCCAGCCTGGGTGACAGAGTAAGACTCCAACTCAAAAACAGACAAAACAGAACAAAACACAAAAGTCAAAGGAATGGGTGGGATAAATTGTCCTTGAGGGTCCTTTAACCTCCCTACTCTGTCCATCAAGTAAGATGGACAAGGCAACAGAACAGTAGAACAATGAGGGCAGAGGAAACAACATAGGACACCAAATTCTTATAAAAGGCCTCAAAGCTTAAGGGAATGTGTGGAAGGACGTGGGGAAGGTAGGGAGGAGGGTAACATTGCAAAGTAACCGAAACAATCTTATGACTTTATGTTGGTGTTTGTGCTGGTATGGAGTGTGTTTAAGTGCTGTGGACGGAAATGCCTAGGGTCTTACTGAGAAGCATCCCTCCTTTTCTTCCCTGTTTCTTCACTCTGTCACAGCATACCCATAGCAGCCTGATCTGCAAATCAGCAGTGTAAAGAGCTCAAATCTAGAGGCTGAAGGCTTATTGCATTGACGTTCTCATCCTAGAGGTCGCTGAATGCAGAACGTGGGAACTTCTGGGCTTCCTATGCAACAGCTTGCTTAAACCTGGAAGGGACCCCTGGCTGGGAATAGTCACATTTCTCAAATGGTTAATGGATCTTCTACTGGGTTAAAAGGTTTACATTTGAAATCGTCCTATCTTCACAAAAAATCTCTCTGAAGTAGTTATTGGCACCTCTGTTGTGTTAGTAAGGAAACGAGGTTCAGCAGAAGGTGTGATTTTACCCGAGATGACACAGCTGGCAAGCGGTCAAGTCTGAATCCTTTTCTAATGTTTGTTTATGGTCATAAATTTCTCTTTAAGCACAACTTTAATTACACATAATAAATTTAATGTGTCATATTTTCATTAGCATTAGTTCAAAATGTTTTCTAATTTCCATTGTGTTTTTTCATTAGTCTGTAGGTTATTTAGAAGTATATTTAAACTTTCCAGGTAGGTGGGATTTTCACTTATCTGTTAGTTATTAATTCTAGCTTACTTGAACTGTGGTTAGAAAACATTTTTATGTATACTGTTAAGCTTAGAAATGTGTAAGAGTTGCTTATGGCTTGCAATATTTGTAAGTATCTGTTTATACTTGAAAAGAATGTGTATTCTCAAGTTCTTAGGTGTCCTTTGTGTGTCAGTTAAATCAAATTCTTTGCTGTGCTGTTCAGATCTTCAATATCTTTAGTAAGATATTGCTAAGATTCTACTGAGATGGTGGATTTGTCCATTTTCTCTTTTAGTTCTGTCATTTTTTTTGCCTTATATATTTTGATGCTATGTTACCAAGGGTATATGATGAATTGTATTTGTTATATATGTCTATGGACTGAAACTTTTATCTTTTTAAAGTA